CTCCGACCGCCACTCACAACCCTTTCCCACCTCCAGCACCACCATTAAGCATCCCTTCCCGTCCTCCCTCAGCCTCTTCCAACTCCTCAGCCACCTCCGTAGCCCCCACCCTCCATCGTGTTGCCACCCTAATCCTCTCCACCCTCTGATGGCCTCCCCTCTAACTAAGAGAGAGGATCAGAGAGAGGGGGAGGGGGAAAGTGGTGGGGTAGGTGCCGAGGATGCTGGGAAAAGCGGGTGAGGGAGATGGAAGAGCAAGGAGTGGGAGGGAGGGCATGGTTGCTAAAGCAAGGGCAAGGCAGGGGAAAGGCCAGAGCAACTAATGGATGACGTGGAATGATGTAGATGGTTAAAGTTTGAACATTAGGAATAAAGATAAATAGGTATTTTGTGCTAGGAAAAATGGTATAAAAATATAATAACGTGAGGTCGAAAGCAATCGGTGGGCATATAGCAACAATCTTTATCAAGGTGGCTAGTTTGAGACACGTTATTATGCAATGTTGTAGAAGTGCTTAGTTGCACGAAGCGCGGGAGCGGGGCGGAGCGAGGGAAGCATGAGCCGATAGAAAATTTCGTTAGGTTGCGGTGAGCGCCTGGGATAGCGGTAATATATATATATATATATTTTTAATACACATTAGAGTTTTTATAAATACTTTTATTTATACAATTTAATTATTTTTATTTATTTATTATATTTTTATATAATGAGTTTATTGTTAATTTATTTTTATTTTATTTTACATATATGTGTGTGTTTTTTATAATATGTATAAATATATACTCATATATAATATATATATATTATATTTTGTATGTGTTAATAATTTTTTATGATAAACATATATTATAAAGAATTATATATATTAATATTTTTATTTTTTTAGTATATATTTAATATGTATTATTGATATATTATTAAATAATAATGTGTTTAATGTTTTTTATTTTTTTATTTTTTAATATCTATATTTATTATAAGATTTTATATTTTTATTATATATATAATATATATTTAGTTAAAGATTTTATATGTTTTTATCTTATATATATAACTAGAAATATGAGGAAAAAAAGAACTTCCGGAAAATATGAGGAAAGAAGGAATAATATTTCTGTTATATTCAAAACTTTCTTATTTTACAAGACCAAAATGACACTCCTTATTATAGGAGATATTACAAACATCATTATAACCCATTATATGCCATGGGGGTGTGTCTACATATTATATATTGACCAATTATCTACCACTATCATATATATACATTGCCACTATCTGACACCAACACCACTATCATATTCTATACATGCCACTATCTACCACCAACCACCCACTATCATATTCTATTACATGCCACTATCTACCACCAAACACCACTATCATATGCCACTTATCCCTTATTATATGCCCATAACACAAATTTCCAGCACTCCCCCTCAAGCTGGTTTGAAAGATTATCTTCCATACGCCTAGCTTGCTAGTCAGCTCATTCAAACTTGCTTCTTGTGTGTCCTTCGTTAGCACATCAGCTAATTGTTCATCCTCGTGAAGGTAGGTCATACAGATTATGCCGCATTGATATTTTTCTCCTTGTGAAATGTTTATCCACTTCTATATGTTTTGTGCGATCATGTAGAACTGTGGATTATGAGCTATAGCATATAGCTGCTTTGTTGTCACCAATAGGACCTTCATAGGTGTCGGGTTGTGAGAAAGCTTTAATTCTTCAAACTGCTGAGGGGCAGTGGGATGGTTATTGGAGCTGGTGGTAGTGGGTTGTGTATGGGGTGGGTAGGATTACGGTTTGCTAGTGGATGACACTTTTGGTATTAAGTGGGTTGTCTAAAGAAAAATAAAAAAAATAAAAAATTGTTGGTGGGTGCTCTAAGAAATTTGGTGAGGCTATTAGCAACACTCAAAATGATTTACTTTGGTGTGACACTACACTTGGTTGAGTTTGTTAATGATTTCCTAGAAATATGATTTGGTAGGACTTTAAATTGCAATGTTGCCACAACGTTACCCCTAACCACAACTTTATTTGTTGATTCTAAAGCATCAGCCGATTCACACCTCTACTTAGTTTCACCCAAGCTTCAATTTGGTCATGGATAGACAACCTAGCTTCACATCCACTAACAGTGACAGTTACCCTATGCAGATTCGCTTTTGCTATGGCTCTGGTGGGTTCCCTTAATCAAAGCCACTACCTATTTGATGGGAATGGCTATTGCACAAATGAACTCTCAATTATTTCATGGATCCTATTTCTATTTTTGTGAAGAAGAACTCATGACCAAGGGGATTCTTTCTTGTACAAATGGTACTTTGAACTTGGAATGAGTATGAAAAAATTGACTACACTTTTATCTTTTAAGTCGTTTTGTCGGACACAATGTTAAGATGGAATGATACATAGTAGCCTTGTCTCTACGCTTGAAATTGACTATACTTTTATCTTTCAAGTGGGTTTGAGAATATTGCCCGATGATGAACATGAGAGATCGTTTGAAAAATCGTATGAGGCTCTGGAAAAATGTCCATTTTTCCTTTATAAGAGCTTAACTGAACTTTAGGTGATAAAACAAGTGTTTTGATAAAATTCAGCTTGTATTAGGAAGCGTGCCATTTGATAGTTTTTGAAATAATTTGCCCTTTAAGTTCAAAAACTCTAGTGTTCTCTCACGTACTAAACACATTCTCACTTGGCGCCCAAACTAATAAAATGAAGTACATCATGCAATAACGGAAATAAATGTTTAAGTTACAGACCCAAAATTAATTAATATAATAATCCAACAAAAGATGTAAAGGCACGCAAGCCCAATTAACGTAGGGTTTGAACTTAACATGACAAACTATGTCCCAACACTCATGCCGGCAGGTGTCTATTAGTACCTACACAATGCAGGGGGGGTGAGTATTGACACTCACCCAACAGTAATCTCATTTCTTACTGAGTAAACATGTTAGTGTCGTGGCAAATAAATTATGTAATGGAATGTCCAATTTCTTGATTAACTTAATTTTATTAAGTCCATCTTATTTAATTAACTCATTAGAGATAATTAAATAATGGAAAGAATCCGAAATCAATAACCACCAATAGGGCTTCAATAACCTGCCAACATGGAAAAAAAATTTAGCCTCGCCAACACATAACATATCCAAGCTATAAATAAGTACAGACTAGGTCCCACATTGATCTCACTCGATGCTCCCTCTGAGCTGCATGTTAGAAAATCCACACCACCGTCTCCACAGAAGCTACTATTGCTATCAACTGCACAGTGTTCGGGGTTCTAATCCTCAAATAGTTCGATCCACTATCTCCTGAAGCTTATTGGCAATACCGGCTATAAGCCTATAACCCGGGCCACGCCTGTAAAATCAATAATACCGGGACTCGACCGAAAATCAACCGAGTACAAATAAAACTCCAAACTAGGTTACTTTTACAGTTGGAATATTTTTCGACACTAGGCCATTTTCTCAAAAATGTTCTCCTTGGCCAATACCCTTAAGGGTCCAATCTCAATTATGCCCCCAAGGCATAATTGACCTAAATGCCCTTAAGGCACAAATTACTAAGATGCTCTCAAGGACAAAATTACCAAATTGCCCTCAGGCATAAATTATCAAAATGCATTCAAGGCATCATTTACCATTATATCCCAATTAACCACTAGTTAATTTCTTATATGATAAATTCAAGAATTTCACCCAAATTACTTTTAATGGATTATTTTACCCTTTAGTGGCCAAAATCACCATTTAGCCCTTATAGTCTCTAAATTCATTAAATAACCCAACAAATCCACAAAGTAACTTAAACCTTAAAATAATCGTAGGAACATATTTATTTACTCAAGAAACTAGCAAGCAAAACTAGTTTGAAAATTTTGAAAAAAATAGCAAAACTCAACTAAATCAAACCATGTTTTTAATTAGGCTATTTAACCCCATGATTAGTCTAACTACATTATTTTTCTCAAATTTTCAACACTTCTAAGATTTCACACAATTCTAAAGTTGTCCAAAAATTATGTTATTTACATCAAAAGTCTTAGAATATGGCACAGACAACACCTTTTGATATTTGAGTAAAAAGCCCCAAATGTTTTTCGTACCCAATTCTTTCTTTGTTTTCATTCTCTCTTTTACATGTTTATGTAAATATATGTATTATGTATTAGGGTTTGTGATATAGAAGAGGGAAAAGCCAATTTGCAGAGCAAGGGCGTCAATGAATCAACAACGAACCACCTGCATTGAAGGTTGGCAACAGTAGAAACATTGCGATTCTCTGTGCCTTTCAAACATAAACTTTCATTTTGATTATGGCCTCGAACAAATTGCTACATTCCATACTTCTTTTTCGTCTCTCTGTTTTTTTGTGAATCTAAACTTAATAGTTTTCTTTGATTTGGTTTTTTTGTTTACTTTTTTATTTACGATCTCATCTGTTTTTCTCCCCTTATTTTCTTCATAATTTTTTTTACTATTGTCAGATTTTCTGTTGTTTTGCTTGATTTTCTCCTCTACCAAAGAGGATCTATGTATTGAAATCCTATATGTTTTTTGATGGATTACACAGATAGATACGATTTGTTACCCATATTATGACTATTGAATATTGATGATATGATTTTGTTGACTTTGTTTGAATTTATGAAGATCATATGATTTTTCAGCCGCAAAAGAATTAACCAAAAAATTATGAGTTAAATTGTTTGAAAAATATTATTTATAAAATTATTGGAGATGGTTAGAGACTTGGGTGATGATGTATGTATGATGGTTCAAACCACTGATGGAGGGGTGATTGTGATTTGTAATTAGGTGGCAGAGAGAGGTCAGTGTAATTTAAACTTGTGGGAATGTCTCCATCATGTCAAAAGCCTCAATAGATAGGTCAGTGTAATTTACCCAATTATTTTAAAAAAAAAATCTTGGACTATATCATATTTCTTAATTTTTTGCATATAGTAGTAACGAAACTAGATTCAGTTTTCAGCTTTTTGTTTGTGGATTTTGATGTATTTTCTAGTCTAGAGCTTGTGACAGAGCCATTTATCTATTATTTTCTACTAAAATATTTATTGATTGCCAAATGGAATTCTAAGAAAAACGCTGCTAGTTTAGCTTACATATGGACTTCCTCTTTGCTCTCCAGATATTTTTTCCCTTTGATCCTTCCGAATTTTTTAGAGTTATGTTATGACTCTTTTGGCTTTGTAGTCCATTCTTATTCTCTATTTTTAACAAGCTTGATCTCAAGTATAGTTATATGATGCTATTTGTGGAATGACTGACTTTTTGGGAAACATTATTAAGTTCATTTAATCCTCTTCATGATATTGGTGTTTTTTAACAATTAGGATTACTTCATTTTTCTTGTTGTATTGAATTTAAGGAATTGGTTGTGCTATATGCTCCTATCATCATATTTGATGGTTGGTGTTATATCTTTGTTTTGTGATTTCTGCCCCTGTTCTTTTCTCAAATCATTTTTCTTGTTTAGCTTTAATTTTCACTTTGATATGATTTTTTATTGAAGCATTTTGGGTGTTAATTTGTAGGGTCAAGAGGGAATCTGGAGGGAAATATATAGAGAGATGGAGGGAGAGAAAAACGGTGGCGCTACTTGCATAATGATGTCGCCAAATTGAAGGTTGCTTATAGTAGTCCATAGGTTCCTTTGTTTTTCTTTGCTCAATCAAACTTTGTTTTGTCGTAGGAATGACTCATTTTTTGTTGATAGAGCTACTATGTATGTAGCAGCAGATATTTGAAAATTGAAATCAGTTTGTGTAATAAAAGTTTAATGCTTTGATTTACTAGGAAAATATTTGTTGTTTATTTTTTTCAAATGTAAATAATCATGTTTTCAAATTTAAAAAGTCTGAGATTTTTTTTTTAATCAAATACCAGTCATGGTTAAAATAGAATTGAGATCTTTTGTCATTTACAATGACACTAATTGTGATGTATGTTTTAGAAATGATCAGTCTTATTCAAAAACTGAGATCTTCTGCGCTTTATAATCACACTTGATGAAAAAATGTGATCTTTTTCCATTTTCAATCATACTTCTTGAAAAATTGAGATGTATGTTGATAGAGCTACTATGTATGTAGCAGCAGATATTTGAAAATTGAAATCAGTTTGAGTAATTAAAGTTTAATGCTTTGATTTACTAGGAAAATATTTTTTGTTTATTTTTTTCAAATGTAAATAATCATGTTTTCAAATTTAATAAGTCAGAGATTTTTTTTTTTTTATCAAATACCAATCATGGTTAAAATAGAATGGAGATCTTTTGTCATTTACAATGACACTAATTGTGATGTATGTTTTAGAAATGATCAGTCTTATTCAAAAACTGAGATCTTCTGCCATTTATAATCACACTTTATGAAAAAATGTGATATTTTTCCATTTTCAATCATACTTCTTGAAAAATTGAGATGTATGTTTTAGAAACGATCAGTTATGTAGAAAAATTGAGATGTTTGTTTTAGAAATGATCAATTATGTAGAAAAATTGAGACATTTTGCCATTTACAATTACAATTTTTGAAAAACTGAGATGTATGTTTTATATATGATCACAATTTTATAGAAAACACTGAGAACTTAATAAGAATATTAAGCATACTTTAAAATTTTAATTTGTGTTTTTAGTTTACTATAACGGTTAGAAAGTGTGATGGAAAATACGGATAAATCATCACACTTGCATAGATCAAGCTTTTTGTAATGTGAAAAATTGAGATTGATAAATACCACTATATGTGAAACATTGCCATTGATAAATACTCTATAGTTAAAAGCTGAGATTGTTTAGCTTTTTTGTAATAAGCACTCTTAACTCACCAACAACCAGTTTAGCTTTTTTGTAGGAGTTAGGCTAACTCACCAACAACCAATATAGAAGAAATTTGGCTCAGTTGAACCATAAAAGTTGCAACTGATGTAAAGCTTTGAATTGCTATGCAAGGACAAGCCAAATAAAACGCAATTAAAAACTACTACAGAAGCAAACTAACATTGCTGAAAATATTCAAAGCATTGCTCACAGTGGCAGATCCAGTGGATCTAGAAATTCAAAACAAGGGGGTACATATTACTCACAACATTGAAAAAAAGAAAAACCCACAATAAGCAACAAGATATTATTAAATTTATATATATATATATATATTGGGAGGGTCAGTTGTTGAGATTCAATATTACAATTATCATGAAAATTACATCAACATAACTTATAAATGTACAATCAACAACCTAACTGAATTTATGATTAACAAATTCAATACTATCAACTCAACAAAGTGTCCCACAATGAAGAAAAACAATTAATTAAATATACCTGCAAACCCTATTGTAACGGCAAAAAATTCACTTTAATTCCTCTACTAGATATTCATTAAATTCATACATGCAGAAGCCGACATAATAGTCAATATTATCTGATATTCATAATGAAAGTAAATCTTCTTTTTGTATTCTTCATTTCATCAAGTAAGATGTACAAAATAAATCACATGCATTATACATTCATAACTCTTAAGCCTGAATCTACAACAAGTGATACTATTACAAAACAATTTCATGTCTCAAATTAAAAATAGCCCCAAGGGCTTACATCTTTCAAGGAATATAACCTTGTTATAAAAAGAGGGGTTTGATTAAAATTTCTCTGATTTAGTTAAAACAATTTCTCTAGTTTAAAATCATTGTGCTAAAATTTCTTTGGTTTGGTTAAAACAATTTTCTCGGGTTTAAAATTGTGAACAAACATAAAGAAATTTGTGAACAAAGCCATAGAAATTCTCTGTGAATAGAGCCAGAGAAATTTCAAATCTTTGTGAACAAAGCTAGAGAAATTTCAATTGTATCTGGTTTGAACCCAGAGAAATTCTTTGGGAAGTCTAGAATTTCTCTGGAGAAGTCTAGAGAAATTCTGTATAGTGATCCCGGTTTTGACCCAACTCTTGTGGTATCTCGGACTCGGGTTTAATGTTTTCATATTGTTGTTTACCCCTTGCTTTCCTTGTAGCTCTTTGAAATTTGCTTTTGGGTTGTTGTGGTTGTGTTTGGGTAGGTTAGTCGCTTGTTTTTCAAACCTTGTGTTGCCTAGAATTTTGGTCCTCTGCTCGAGCAGTACTTCCTGCGCTCGAGCAGGCTTTGCAAACACTTAGTACTTTTGCAGGTTTACAAAGGTACTGGGAGAGTGATTTCTACGCTCGAATGGCGTTTCCTACACTCGAGATCTGAAATCTGATCCGATAAAACAGCTATCGATATCCGATCAATGTGATTTTTTACAAGTATATAGTACTCGATAAGTTCTACACATTGAACCGTTTGGATTATCGAAAAGGGTCCTATGGTGGGCCTTCACGAGCCCAACAGCATTCTCGAGTCCGATCATGGACTGGAGGGAAGCCAATCCCTTAAAATTATATACATATATATGCTAGAATAATGTAAAAGAAGATGAAAGAGGATATAAACGACTTTTTTTTGTTACCTTTAACGACGTTAATGTTGAAATTTCACCCAAGTTTATAGGGAAAGTCTCTACTTATATTTGAACAATAAAAGGGTAAACTGCTCAAGCCTTTAACCACTAGGGGTGGACATTGGCCCATTGGCTTGCCCAACCCGCTCCACTCAGTCCTATTTTTCTAGGCCTTAAGAAGGTTGTTTTAATCCATGAGGCCAGGCTAGACCAACATTTTTAGCCCAGAATATTAACGGGTTGGGCTTGGAATTTATACTTTCAATCCAACTCAGCCTGACCGGTGTGCTATTAAATTATTTATTTATTTATAATACATTAAGATATATATATATATATATATATATTTGTTAGGATCTAGACTTTGTTCTTGTTGATTTTATTGAAACTCACATTTATGGTGATGTGTGATTGAATTTATTTAAGATATCCTTCAATTTATACACAAAATCCTTCAATTTATAATGATGTCAATATGTTTATTTAAGAAATATAATGTGTGATTGGATTTACATATGGAATGAATGAACTTTTTTTAACATATAGCCCGATGGGTGTGCTCATAATTTGCAATTATTTTTTGGACCGGGTTAAGATAGATCATAAAGGCCCGATGTTAGAATTGGCCCAGATTTGAGCAAATACAAAATCCCTTATTATGTAGTACCGGTCTGGTTCGAAACCGGCCCGGCCCGATGTTTGTCTACCCCTATTAACCACAAGGGGATAAAATTAAGTTTATCCTAATTTTTATGTTTACCATACTAAATTTCAACAATAATAAAATATAGGGTTAATTACACTTTTCACCCTAGTAGTTTGATTCAAATTTCACTTTTGTTCCTATAGTTTGCAAACTTCACTTTACCCCCTGTAGTTTGAGTTATGTGTAGTTGTAGACACCCCATTTTTGACCGTCCTCAAGACTTGGACGTCACCATTGGAACACTTGGTGATTACCCTTGTTTGTGTTCATCTTGAGTTCCCGAAGGTCTCGGTTGCGCGCCTTGCCTCAGGATCTCTCAACTCGACCGTGTTGTGTCTGGTTTTGCACCAAACACTTGTGTTTTGCCTTGGAGGGGCAGGGAATGCCTTGTGAGGCATCCCCACACATCACCGGCCATGGCTTGAGGCCACCGGCCAGTGATTTTATGCCATCGGCAATGTATATTGCCGGTCGGCCATTTGTTTTGCCAAAATGACAATTTTGAATGGCCGATCACTTTAGAGCTCCTTTATTAGAGCTCCCAATCATTTTTGGTAGATATACTATTTAATATAAGGTTAATTGGTGATAAATCTAATATAAAAAGGATATAAGACATTAGATTTAAGTAATATTTTCTATTGATGAGAAGTTTATGTTTTGTAAAATAATTTGGTGAGAAATCCTAGAGAACATTTTGTTTTCAATTTTATCCCTTGATTTTTTTTATCGATTTGACTTTTCGTTGACTATCTGTTAAAATTATTTTTATTTGTTGAAATTTTTTATCTGTTAATTTTTTTTATAAAATTTTTAGTTGTTCAAATTCTTTATCTATTGAAAATTTTTGTTCATTTTTTATCTGTTCAAACAAATATATCCTATTATCTATTCAATTTGCAATCTATTTCTTCTTAAACAATTAAAAAAAAAGGATCTATGTCAAAAAAAGAGAGAAATCTAAACAACAACAACAAGGTGACCGTAGATCATCAATTCAATACAAAAGAAACCATTAAGAACTAGGAAGATTTGAATAATTATCAAGAATAAAGAAAAAGGAAGGAAATGGTGATGATGTTAATGAGAGGTGTCTTTTACACATCAACGAATTACACTAACAGTCTCTATAATTAAGGATTCGTGTCACTTTGGTCTATGACTTTTTAATTGTTATGGCACATTTGATCTTAAATTTTGAATCTTGTTCCAAATAAGGATAATTGAAGATATTATTGCTTAATTTCAATGGCAAAATCGTTAATTTAATAAAATATAAACTAATTTGACAAAATAAATGTCAAAAAAATATTTTAAAATTTTTAAAAATTATTTTTACCCACTAAAAATAAAATTATGTAAAATTGATAAATCTTTTAGATTTTTTTTTTTACCAAATTAATTTTTATTAAGTATGTAATGGGTGGTTGTTATGATTTTAATGTGTAATCGATATATTTAATTTATGAAATATTTTTAGTTTTGGATTTTTTGATTTAATGGATTGGTTTAATAATGATATCAAAATTGTCATCATATTTGACTTTTGGAAAAATAGAAACTAATTTAATGAAAATAAAAGCAACTACCCATTACATGATCATCATCAAAACACATAATAAAAATTAATTTGGTAAAATAAATAAATAAATAAATGTCTAAAATTT